GGTGGTTGTTTTAGAGATGGGGTCTTGCTGTGGTGCCCAGGCTGCAGTGCAGTGGCTATTCACAGGTATGAACATAATGCACCAAAGGCTTAAATCCCTGGCCTCAGGTGATCCTCTCACCTCAGCCTCCTAAGTAGCTAGGACCTATGGGCATGTGCCATTGACTGGGGCAAGAGAGTAGACTTTGATGTTCTCACCACAAAAGGATAATTATGTGAGATAACATACATGTTAATTTGATTTAGTCATTCCATAATTTATACATATATTGAAATATCATGTACACCATAAATACTTTTTTGTCCATTAAAATAAATCAATAAATAATAATTTTTTTAGAAAGGGATAAAAGAAAAACTGGTCTTTATCTAGAAAGAAAGCTTAAATATGAGGTCATCTCTTTAACTCCAGGTGAAACTGGAGGCAAGTTGTGAAAAAGCCTAAAGGCTTCAGAAAGTAGGAAACACTTAAGGAGTTACTTAACCCGAGGTGTCTTTTCTGTAGATTTCAGGAAGTCCATAAACACCTTAAATAGTATTGCAATGTTTTATGAACGTTTGGTTTCTGGGAGAGCTTATAGCTTTCACAGATTTCTCATTAACGTCTATAGCACAAAACAAGCCCAAGTAAATGAAGAGATCATCTTTCTAATTACCTCAAGAAGATTTTTTTTCAAAAATGGCTGGTCTTGAATCCCTGACAAACCTGTGTGAGCATCAGATGAAGGGATTCAAGGGAGTGGTGTGCTGGTAAATGTTTAGGAACTGGAGATTCAGCAAAACAAGTCCTAATATATAGCATTTGTTGATTTTTGTGGTGTACATACTCCTCCATGACCAGTTTCAAGCTACAGATGAGACACTGACTAATACAAAATTCCTGAAGATATTAAAAATCAACTTCGAGAAGTCTGTAGGAGTCAACTCCAGCAAGACCTCTGATTGAAGGTCAGTTAGGTTTTCTCAGGTCTGGAGAAAACTTAAATTAGGACAAGTCATTAAGGAAATGAGTTGAGCCTAATTTTGCACACATTTTCTGCTTAAATTTTGTAAATATTTCTCTAAATATATTTAAGAAGCATTTTTGAAGTGTTTAGCCAAGTTTAAAAGATCAGAATCAATGAATAGAGCAAAAGCTTTTTCTAACTTTTCGATAAGGATTAATTTATGTAGAGAAATTAATCAAATGGAAGATAGTGTGAAAGTTATGAGGAAGAAATCAGCTCCCTTCTAGAACAGCAGTTCTCAAAATACAGATCCCAAGGAAGCAGCAGCAGCATTACCTGAAAACTTGTTAGAAATTAATTCATAGGCTTCCACCCCAGATCTGAATCAGAAACTCTGAGAATGATGTCCAGCTATCTGTATCTGTGTTTTAACAAGCTCTCTAGAGGATACTGATGTGCACTAAAGTCTGAGCACCACTTCTCTAAAACAACGGTTCTTAAATTTTAGTGTGCCCAAGTATCCCTGGAGGAATTTGTTAAAATGCAGATTTCTGGTCCCAGTGCACACCTGCTGAATCAGAATCTCCCAGGGTGAGGTTCAGGAACAGCACTATGTTTTATTTTATGTAATTTTGCTTACTTGTATTAGTTACGGTTTGCAACACAGAGTCACTGGGAGGAAAAAGGAAACTTCTTATAAAAATGTTTAAATATTCTGTAATCCCAGCACTTTGGGAGGCCGAGACGGCCGGATCACGAGGTCAGGAGATTGAGACCATCCTGGCTAACACGGTGAAACCCCGTCTCTACTAAAAAATACAAAAAACTAGCTGGGCAAGGTGGTGGGTGCCTGTAGTCCCAGCTACTCGGGAGGCTGAGGCAGGAGAATGGCGTGAACCCGGGAG